TTTTTTTTTTTTTTTTTATTTTTTTCTTTCGAGTTTTAACGGACAGGAGAAACTTTTATGTTTCGTATAATTAGTGACAATGCTATTGGTCATTATATCGTGAACATATTTGTACGCGTATAAGTATTTGTACGTGCTCAAAAAGAAATTAAAATTTTGCGCTTGCGCTGCTTTTTCGATACAAATCTCGTTTTCTCGTGACAATCTTATCTTATATATAAGACCTCGAAATTAAGAAAACATTTCAATGAAAATATTTCAGTCGGAAAATTTCATTTTTACATGTGCACCTGTGCTCAACACACACACACACACACACACACGTAGATACACAATATTTCAGGTGAAGTACTTCTTAAAGCCAGACTACGATGTTTGTGCAAACTCATACTTTGTAATAAATACAATTGAAAGAAATGGAACGCGAGCAGAGATTTATTTCACGTATTAAATACTGCGAAGAGTACTATAGTCTGTATTACTATATCGTACGGGTGTATTCTCCGCTTTTATGCATTTTTAAGTCTTCCACAAATGCATAAAAATTCACAATCTGCTTGTGGCATTTAGAGCATGAAGTATGAAATGTTATCTCTTTAATTGTACTCGTAAAAAAATGCTGATTTGCATAAAAGTTCGTGGTCTACTAATTATCTATCTACAGTTACGGGTTAATAAACTTTCGCACATTTCTTTATTTTTGCACATTCTTGCGCAGAAAAATGTTTCACAAATACGTGAACATTCGCAGTCTGATAAACAGAATTAAATTGACGTGATAAAAATAAACAAATATACGCAATTATCTATATCAAGAACAATTCACGCCAATTTTATTAACATCTGAGTTTTAAAGGAAAAGATTAATAAGAAAAAAAAAAAAGATCGATTACCTTGACGTTGAAACAATTGCAATTATTTTTAACAAACCACTCTGGAAGTAGAAGACGACAGCCATTAGGCGTTGATCTTTCAAAAATTCACTTTCAATGATTTATGAAAAAAAAAAAAAAAAAAAAAAGGATCATGCAGTTAATAGGAAAGGAAGCAAACACACGTGAGACTGCATCCAATTACTTCTCCAATGTGAATGAAACAAAGTCACGGCATCGTTACGAAACCTAATTTCGTTCAAAATTATCAAGAGGTTTGCACACAGTTGATCGCAAAAGCATACGTAATTACGTTAAGCATACAATATTATAATATTGCAAATTTAAATGCAAGATTCCTTAAGTACGTGTATCAATCACAATTAGTCGATAAGAATGAATGAAAAGATAAGAGTCATAAACACTAGAACTATCAGAGTGGTCCAATAACCAATTTGTTAGAATAATGTGTTTTGTGCTTTTCAGAGATTTATTATAAACCTTTTCCTATTCCTTGCATTTTAATTACTTCGATTCAATTTCTACACTTTAGTCTTCGATAGTATTAAAAGAACATATCCGTGAGAATCGGTAAAAAAATTCGACATCAAAAAAAAAAAAAAAAATTAGATATCTATTAATTTAATAATAAGATATTAAAATTAGAATTTTTTGAATGCTGAAATATAATAAATATAATAAATATAATAAATTAATAAATATAATAAATATAATAGATTAATAAATATAATAAATATAATAAATATAATAAATTCATTTCGTGACAATATTTTCTTCTCTACTGATTGTCATGTATATACATTCGATATTTGATTCTCTTGTTTCAATGATTATTTTATTCATCGTATATAACAGCTACTCGATAATTTCGTGATCAGCGCGTAACACGTCCGAGAAAAATCGGAAAGTCACGAGAGACAAAGGGAAAGAACGGCACGTTTCGCTTTGTAAGCAGGGATCAGTAATTCACGTCTATCGTGACACGATTATCTACTATTAATTGCCACGTCGTTGACGAACGTGCCATTATTAGATGATTCAATTCTATGTAGTCACCTGGCAGGAACACACAGTTCGAACGATATCGATTCAGGGACCCACTTTAAGATTACACAGCTGAGAGGTATGATATACTTATCTGGTGTTCTCGTGATCAGAACACTCTTCGATATTCGACAGTACGCAATTAAAACGTGAAACAGCGAAATCATGGTCTCGAGACAGACCTTTTATAATCAGCTTCTAATGGATTGCTTTGCGAAACATTGTTTCACAAGATTTAGATAACTAGATCGTCTCATTTTTATTTTCGGGATAGTATTTATTATTGACTGACTGTTCAATATTAAATTAAATTAATTTCCAAGAACACGTTATAAGTACTAGAATTATTGCATTCACTCTTTAGATTTATTAGCAAACTCGAGGACAATCGATTTCTTGAAACAATAATTCATAGATACTCCAATTTTGATGCAATATTCCGACAAAGGATATCGAAACGAGTCTTTCTATTTATAATTACATTTCGATCAAAAATGAACACGTATATGTGCTCATATTTTCGAGTATATCACACAATATTCTTTTATCTTCAACTAAATATATCGACAATAGATAATTTAATATGAAAACATCCAGTGACTTAGTTGACCAACAAAACAGAATTCACTGGATTTCTCCTCACATTGTAACGACACAGCTGCAATCCCTCTGTGCATTTTTCCTCCTCCCCCATCGCGTGTGTATGTCGATAAAAGTGTCCAATAGCTAGCAGAATTCCTGACCAATAAAAATACTGGTCCACACTCGATTTTCCTCTTTTTTCTTCCTTCGTCTGTATTTTTTTTTTTTTTTTTTTTTTCCGTGGCGGACAAAGGCGAGGCTTATGTAACTTTCATTTGTGCCAACGTCGATATATCCAGAGGCGGCCCCCAGGATTTTCCATATTCAGGCTGCCTGATTCCCTTCGAGGGAAAACGGCGTACGTGATCCACGAAACGTCCACGTTTCACGTGCAATCGCTTATACCAAGCTTTTTCTCCACTTAACGCGAAACGATTCCCACCGAACGATTCTCTCGCGTATATACTCTGTGACGATGCAGTCTTAATCACCGGTGACCTTCGGGAATACGATTACCGGGCCGAGGAAGGCCTGACGAGAAATTGGCGAGGACTCGGCATCGTCCCCGACATATACCCATCAGGCAAATTGAACATCTCACTGGAGAAGATTTTTTACCTCTTCTCGTCGTATCCTCTGATTTTCCTCTCCTCTTTCTCGCTTTTTCGATCCTCTTCCTCCCTTATTTCATTTTTTGCAACTACTGCCAATCATATTCATTACATAATGCGATTCGAGTTGATT